GCAGAGTACGGTGTCTGCGCTCGTAGATAGCGACAGCGACCCCATGAAGCACGGTCGCTTGGCGATGTCGTGTTTTGGCAGCTTCAACAATGTCGTCGGGAAGGTTGTGCGTGCGTGCCGCCGCTGTGGCAAGGGCGTCGGCCTGACGGTTGAACTCCTCCGCGATGGGCCCGATGAGCCCAAGGTCGATGCCCATGTCTCCCAGGTGGCTGGCGATTTTTTCGACGCGAAACATGTTGGGCTTGGCCATAACACATCGGTGGATCTTTTCCCAGAGCTCCGCGTGCGTGCCCTGCGGCGCTGGATGTCCGTCGATGATGCTTTGGAACCCATCGACCACCGCCTGGTTGTCCACGAAAACGTGCACGGGCCGTTCGGCACATGCCGTAAGGTGGACAATGGCGAGGGTCTCCGCAACCTGGGCGTTCTGCGTTAGGCCGTGAACGCGTGCACTGTAGTTCATGCGGTGATCGATGCCGTAGTAGACGCCGTAACCCGCTCGTGCTAGCAATGGGATGGCTTGGTTGGTGCACGCACCGTCCGTGGCAGCATAGACCCATGTCCAACCAGTGTCGTAGTCAAGGTAGGTGGTGTAGGTGTCCTGGGCTGAAGCCGCAGGATCACCATCAGGGGAGGGCCGCGGAATGGGCTGTGGCAGCGGGTCCCTCGCGAGGTCGGCCTGCAGGTCGAGGAGGGCTGGGTCTTCGTCGAAGAGCCCGCAGTGTCTTGTGTGCGGCGGAAGACGGGCCCACTGGTCGTCACTGATGAGGGTGGTGAGAGGGAGTCTTTCTCGGGCCCAGCACTTACAGTCGCGGACAGTGTGCTCCTGAGTTTCCTCTTCCTCGTCGCAGTAGCGGCACATGGGGCTGGGGTCTGCCGACGTGTTTGATCGGGATCGTCGCTGTTGGGTGTGGTCCCCGCCCGACAGGTAGTTCAGGAGGAGCGCCAGCTGCCAGGCAGTGCATTTGGCTGCTCCTTTAGTTCGCGCGAGCCACGTGCTGGCGAAGAGGTCAAGGCCCTGTCTGACAGAGGCGAGGTAGCCAAGGTCGTGTCGCCGTGGCTTGATCTTCCGCAGAAATGCCCTGCGTTGTGAGGCCCGCAGCATGTGCAGGAAGGCGTTTTGGGGTAGATTCAGCCAGCTGATCGGGCAGCCCCAGTCGTCGTACATGATGCCAAATGTGGGCCAGGTCCATCGGAGCTG